GAGAGAGAGAGAGAGAGAGAGAGAGAGCGAAAGAGCGAGCAAGCACGAGAGAGAGAGAGACAGAGAAAGCAAGAGAGATAGCAAGAGAGAGAGGGGCCCGGCAGGAGGGAGTTTTTATAGCTCAAATCTAATGAGGTCTCTGGGTCTGCAAGCTGCCCTTGTTGGCACAAGGGGGGTTACATGTTTGGCCTTGAGCAGTGGGTTGAGTGTTCAGCCTTGAGCGGGAGCTTGGGCTTGAAGCAAATAGTTGATAAAGAACCAGACAGAGGTTTGAGAGGCCAGGTCATCCTGCAGCTAACTTTGTTTGGCATGCCCTGAAGACAGCTTACTCAGCCTGTCCTGCACCTAACAGATTCCTCAAAAAACTAAGAATGGAACCACCATTTGATCCCATTATCCCATTGCTCAGCATATACATCCAAAGGATTTAAAATCAGCATACTACAGTGATGCAGCCACATCCATGTTTATAGCAGCTCAATTCACAATAACTAAGCTATGGAATAATCTAGCTGCCATTCAACTGATGAATAAAGAAAATATGGTAAATATACACAATGGAGCTTTACTTAGCCATAAAGAAGAATGACAATGACATTTTCCAGCAAATGGGTGGACCTGGAGACTATCATGCTACGTGAAATAAGCCAATCCCCAAAACCCAAAGTTTGAATGTGTTTGCTGATATATGGAAGCTAAACCACAATAAAGGGGCTGGGGGGGGGATAAGAGAAGTTCAGTAGATTAAACGAAAGGGAATGAAAGGAAGGGAGGGGGGAAAGAATTAGGAAAGAATGTAGAGTGAATCTAATTCTAAGTGAATCCCACCAGCCTGTCCACTCATAAGAATGGGGTCCTAGGCAGGGTATGGTGGCTCACACCTGTAATCACAGCAGCTTGGGAGACTGAGGTAGGAGGATCACGAGTTCAAAGCCAACCTCAGCAAAAGTGAGACATTAAGCAACTCAGTGGGACCCTGTCTCTAAATAAAATATGAAAAAATAGGGCTGTGGATATGGTGCAGTGGTCAAGTGCCCCTGAGTTCAATCCCCAGTACCAAAAAAGAAAAAAAAATGGGGTTCTAATTAGAATAAGATATATTCCATACTTGTATAATATTATCAAAATGGGTTCTCCTGCCATCTATAACTAAGAAGAACCAACAAAAAAAATTTTAAAAAAGAATGAATAGTTAAATGAATCCACCTTGTATCTTTTTGGATAAAAAGAAAATATGTATGCAAGGACCAGATCCAAGCATTATTTTTTCATATACTTGAAGTGGGGTTATATATATTATCTTTCTATATATGTATAACATATACAAACATATACATGTATATATATATATACACACATACATGTGAACACATCCATATATATGTGTATATGATACTTACATCTGTCTCTTACTATAATCTCTTAAAAATTAATCAGCTTGTTTAAGAAGAAGAGATCTTATATGTCAACATTTCCTAGGAGTTTATAGATGTGGGTTAAAGCTTAATATCCATACATTTGTAATGGACTTTCCTATAATCATGAGAAAAATTCCTGAGACTAAGGATATTATTATCAAATCCATGTGTGTTATTTAAAGCTAGGATGGATGATTGTAAAAAGATAAAACCCGTTTTATTCACTTCTGCCTGTGTAGCTTTGAAGTTTGTTACTGTTGGATAATAGAACACAGGTTATCAAAACAGATCTGAAGAGAAAGTGAATGAAACCCAACTATTCTGGTATAAGAAGCTTCTTAACTTCTCAGGTAACCATTATTTTCCTAGAAAATAACTGTAGCTGACTTACTGAGGAGTAGTAAAAACAACCAATTGTGGATACTTGTTGTCCCAACTTGGTTTTGCATGGCATAGTTACTCACATGTAAATAGTATCAGGATCATACGCTTCTTCCTGAGTGAAATGGCAGCATGTTATTTGCGCCCCTGAGTTTTCACCAATGCCTGGATATGCTAATTTATGAAAAAAAAAACTTAATGTGGAGGAAAAATGCACAGGATGAAAGTTTTGAAAATAAGTGATGTAGTCTTAATTTCCATTAAATATTGCTCTTAAAAGTGAACCACTAACTTCTTTGAGTATCCAATTTGGTAATGCATTACTGTTTAACAAATCATCTTAAGATTTAATGCTTTAGAACAATAAATAGTTATTTCTCATGATAACGTGGGTGGACTTGGGAGTTTCATATAGTGGGAAGTCAGTTGGAATGGGTAAAGCTGGGTTTGCCCAGAGACCTCAGTTCTCCTCAGTTTGCCTCTACATGTGGTCTCTGGGCTTCCTCACAACATGGTAGCTTAGATAAAAGCAGGAATGTTCCAGCAAGCAGAAACCACTTGTCATGTAAAACTCAGTATCAGAAATCACCTGGTATCATTTCTGTGATGCAGTTGGCTAAAACAAGCATAGAATCAGCTCAGATGTGAGTGGAATAGAGATTCTTCCTCCCTACAAAGATAGAAAACTCATGGATATTTTAATACACCATAGTCTCACATTTTAACTTTTGTAAAATTAAAATGTTAATATTGTTAATTTTATGGTTTTTAGAGTTTGAAATATTGAAGAAAGTTCTGTAAATGTTGGGAAAGCAGTTTAGAACTTTTTATTCTTTAAGTTGATGGATATTTTTCTCAAAGAACTGTATTAAGACTTTTCACACTCAGCAATAAACTTAAAAATTTATTTCACTTATTCATTCTAGCATTGAAAACATTTTTATTTTTTAAGTAATGAAATATTTTAAGCATATTTAAAAAGTAAAAAAAAAAATGATTTAGCAAACCTCCAACAAGACAAAACTACCTATCCTTGATTTAAATTATCTTTAAACCGTACAATATTGTGGATGGCAGTAAAACTTTCATGACCTCTTCCAGAAAATAAAGATGAAGAAAGAGTATTTACCAACTTATTTTATGAAGCCAATTTTTCCTGAAACCAAAACAAAATAGTAACAATTCATAAGAATAAAACTACAGACCAATATCCTTCATGAATATAGATATAAGAATCTTTAGCAAAGTATCGTCAAACAGATTTCAACAACATATAAAAATAATTATACAGCTTCACAAAATAGAGTTTATTCAGTGGATGCAGGGCTAGCTTAATAATTGAAAATCAATGTAATATATCATATTAATTCACTAGAGAAAAAATCTCATAATCATATCCAAAGATATCAAAAAGCATCTGACAAAATTAAATCCCTCCAAGACCCTAATAAAACTTTGACAACACCTCTCAGAAAACTGCTATAAAACTTTCAGCTAATATTATATTTAGTGACTAAAAATAATCATGCAGTATAATCTTTTTAATGTGATGTTGAATTTGGTTGAAAAGTATTTTATTGAGGATTTTTGCATCTAGGTTCATCAAGGATATTAGTCTGCAATTTTGGGGGGTTTTTTTTGTATGTGTGTTGTGTGTGTGTGTGTATGTGTGTGTGTGTGTGTGTGTGTGTGTGTGTGTGTTCTTATCTGATTTGGGTTCATACTTGCTTCGTAGAATGAGTTTGGAAGCATTACTTCCCTTTCCATTTCATGGACTAGTTTGATGAACATTTATATTGGTTCTTCTTTAAAGATCTGGTAAAATTCAGCAGTGGATTTATTTGCTCCCGAGCTTTTCTGTGCTGGAAGACTTTTTATTACTGCTTCAGTTTCATTGCTTGTTATTGATCTTTTAGGTTTTATATCCTTTTGGTTCAATTTTGGCAGATTGTATGTGTAAGTTTTCAAAATGATCCTTTGGATTTCAGTGGTATCTGTCATAATATACACATAGACAAGTGGAATAGAAAAGAAGATAGAG